AGATGGCGCTAGTGTATCGTTGACTGGAGCGCGTAACAATATAATACTTTTAATACAGGGTAAGTTATTGAAAGGTTGGCATGTACGTATTAAGAAGCCTAAGTTTCTATATGCTTTATTTGTGATGTAGTCAATATGATTACTAAATGTAAGCTTGGAATCCAATAAGATACCAAGATCTCGGATTATCTCTGTTTTTTGAATAATTGATCCATTCAATTTGTATGCATATTCAACCGGTTTAGTTTTGCGTGTAAATGTGCAAGTTTGACATTTCTTGACATTAACTGTGATTCGATTATATTTGTAATAATGGTCCAACCTGTTTAAATCTTCTTGAAGCTTATGGCAATCATTTAAATTGTTAATTTTAATAAATGTTTTTTGTCATCTGCATACAGCAAGAATGAGGAGTGTTTAAAGCATGTATATATATCATATAGATAGGTGTTATACAGGAGGGGCCCTAAGTGAGACCCTTGTGGCACACCAGATGTAATTTTTATAAAATTTGATCTGTGTCCTCCTACAACTACTGCTTGGGAACGATTTTTTAGGTAAGACTCAATCCATCGCAAAAGGTCCCCGTGTATTCCTAGTATTTTAACTTACGATGCAAGATGACGTGATCCACGCAGTCGAAGGCTTTTTCGAAATCCGTGTAGATCACGTCAACCTGCCCCCAGGCATCCATATGATTGATAGTCTCTGTGATAAAATGTGTTAGGTTACTAATAGTTGATCTGCCTTTGAGGAAACCATGCTGAGATTCTGGTAAACCTCGACTTAAGGTCGGGTAAATGTAATTAAATACTAATTTTTCGAATATTTTCGCGAATATATTAAGTATAGATATAGGTCTATAATTTTCAACTTTAGTACAGGTTCCTTTTTTAAATATGGGTACTACATGAGCTTCTTTCCAGATGTATGGGAAATAACCTTCCTGAAGAGATCTATTGAATAAAATGTGAAGAGGCTCAGACAATGACTTAGCACATTTGAATATAAATATAGGTGGGATTTTGTCACTACCCGGTCCCTTTTTTACATCTACTTTCTGTAGCGCTTTAAAAACATCTGCCTTGGAAACCCGAAAGCAATGTAAATGTCGGTCGTTGCTACTAGAAAGTATAGGTAATGCAACATCAGGATATGAAGGAGCAGGCGGGATAAAAACATTTTTGAAAAATGAACTGAAGACTTCTACAATTGCTGGGCCTTCGCTATGCGTTGTATTTTTAGACGACATTTTATTTGGATAAGAATAAGTATTACCACGTTTTGATTTGATAAAAGTCCAGAAACATTTAGGGTTATTCAGTATGGCTTGTTGAGTAGTATCCAAATAATTATTATAACATTGTTTATTATAAACTGACGCACGCTTACGTAATAAAGAGAACATATTGTAATCCGCTAAGTTATGAAAATTTTTCCAATTTCTGTGAGCCTTAGCTTTTTCTTTTAAGATATTAATCAATGTTTTATTATACCATATTTATTATACCACGGGGGCCTTTTCGTGTTGTGAGGTAGAGATATTACACTTGGTATATATTTGTCTATGCAATAATTGAGTTGTTTGTAAAAGAAATCTACAGCTTCTTCAACATGTCCAGTGTATAAATGAGTGGCCCAGTCGATTTCACATAAATATGTGTTTATTTTAACAAAATCAGCTCAATAAAACTTATTTTTCTTAATAAAAGAGCATTTGAGAGTAAGGATAGCCACATTTAAGTCAAATTCGAAGGGAGGATGAAATATATCTATCTTAGTTAAGGGTTTGTCACATAATATTATTTCTATGTCTATATTAGAGAAAATTAAATCTAATGTGTTATTGCAACTGTTTTTTATATTGGAGTATTGTCGGAAACCATGGTAGGCTAGTTCGTTTATTAATTGCTCCCCTATAGTTAGTATCTTCCTTCTTTACGCGGTGGACTCTATCCAGCTTCAAAACCTCCTCAGAAATCAGGTATAAAACTGTAATTGGTAAATAGCTAGAAAGAGTATATAAAAAAATGTTACCGTGCGCAAAATAAAGAAATTAACCCACTTTATTATACACAAAAACATTCACACAAAGATAACATTCATAGGTGTTATGGGTACTTTGAGAAAATTAAAATATTTTTAAATGTGGTACATATTAGTACATTAAATAGGTAATTTAAAACTTTTTGCTTAATAATTTAAACTCCGTTGAAATATTACCTCCGAAACGTTTAACTATGTAAAAAGGCTAATAATCAATACGTCTTATTAATTACATACATTATAAAAAACATCTATATAAAAACGTAAAACTATCAGTTTGGCTGTTAGCATCAATGTCTATTCAACAAATTATCAATTTTAATATGTACACTCATCTTGCTGCCCTGGTAGACGGAGGCAGACCAACTTCGTTTTAGCTCCGTAACAGCCTGTTATATTCCACTGCTAAATATAGGACTCCCATAAGGGGGGGGGATATTTGCCACAGTTGTCACGTTATCATGTTTAATCTCCAACCGAGATTACAATTACACTGTGGATCACAATATGGATCCCACTATAGATAATGTTTTGGAATCACCCATAGAGTAGAGTAATATATACAGAAATAGAGAGCTATCTCCTAGGATTTTTTGTCACCTAATATGAACAGTGTCGCCGTCTGGTATCATATCCCTTGAACTAAACTCAATATCATGTTGACTATATATAGCTGTATGTAGTTATGTATATACAGCTATCTATACTATAGGCGGTTATATTTATATTTTAAGGGATTAGGCTTCAATTAAAGACGTATTATAGATTTCAGTAATATTAACATTTATTTTTGTTATATATATTTAATATACACGATGTAAAAGCGTCTATTCCGCAAAATACAACACCAAACCAAATTAAATATGTCCACCGGGTTACCGGAATGATAAATGAAATCGTCTATTTCGCACAACACTACACAAACATACAATGTGGTTCCAGCATGAAAATCTAATCAGACAACAAGAAACAGAGGGCTAATCCAACTCAACCAAAATTATTGTAGCAACAACCGAAAATCACTTATAAACTATAATAAAACAACAACTTGCACAGACGCCGAGCTGGTAGCCATTATGTCATATTAAAAAGTTGCTACTTGCCAGTTCGAGAATAACTAGAATTGGTGTAGTCGCCATCTAGCGCACCTTTTAGAATTTAATGTTCAAAAGTTTATGCGGATTTAGTACAAGATGGCACTAGTGTCTTTTGCAATTTATTGAACCCCAACCTAAAGTATGGAATTGTACTCCCCCCCTGGAATCACCTCTAAAAAATTAATTCAAGGCCTTTAGGCAAATAAAGTCAGGCAAACCATATCGCGATATATTTACCGTGCAACGCCATCTGCCATCGATGAAGCTAACTATCGCAACATAATCAATACAATTACTGTACGACGACATCTATCATCTATGTTGCTAACTATCGCAATGTAATGATAGCACAACGCCATCTGTTTATCTATGACTAAATTACGTTGAACACCATCTGTTTATCGATGGCTAAATTACACTGAACATACCGCCCCCAATGGGCAATAGTGGCGATTGTCCTTAATTTATTGACAGTCTTGCGACTTTGATAAATTTTTTAAGACATTTTTTTGGCCAAATGCATACTTAATACGAGTACATATTCCTCTAGATGTAGCAAATCTTAACAACTAATATTTAAACAATAATAATTGCCACTAAAGTTCTAATTATAAACTAATATAACAATGATACTCATTTTTAAATTTAGCAAGAAAAATTATTTCAGTTCAAAACTTTGTAACTTTAACACGTTAAACGCCATGGGGGGCACCGGTGACCTCATGTATGTTGCTTTATTGCGCCATGGGGGACACCGGTGACAACATGCGAGATCTAAATTTAAAGTGCTTTTTTTGCGCCACCGGTCACGCGTGTCGTTTATTTCGCCTATGTGAGTGACCGGCGCGGCGCTTGAGAGCAATCCTTTGCAGTGGGACACACCTGCCTAGTAAAATTTAGAAAATAGGTACTAAATTATGAGAAGTAGGGAAAAATACGCAAAAAAAATGTTTCATATAAAATTTGGTTTTAAATATCGTAGTTTTAAGATTCAAAAGATATAAAAATCTTTTACAGTATTAATGTTTTAATAACATAATAATATATCAATCACAAAGAAATATCAATATTTTACACGTGGTCATAGAAAGGCTCACAAAACAATTTAGATAGTAATTTAAAAGTTATTATATTGAAAATATTACAAACAAAAATTATTGTCCAAATTACGTTCGATGCTCTCTATTAAAACATGGCAGGCAATAATGTGGCTGACCATCACACTGCAAACAATAGGTAGGCACTTTCAGGGTCTTATTTTTTGCGTCTTTTCTCGACATCTTTTCTACATTGTTCTTGTAACAGCCGACACAAAATCGTCTCATTTTACGTACAGGTCCCTTTTTTTTGACAAGTTCATGTTTTCGTCGTTTTGGACGTAATTCAAGTGCCAAGTTACCTGTTTCTGGACGTCCTGATTTAGTGAGATATTGAACGAGATTTTTTCTATAATCTACTACTGAAATATTTTTCTTAGTGGTTTCCTTATACATTATCAACGCATTTACCACTGCTGTATTCAAGAGCAATTCTATGGCCAATTTTCTATACCATTTGACAGTTTTTCTCAGTGGAGTTGAATAAGCTGTCATCTGATCACTCATGTCGACTGAAGCTTTACATTTGTTATAATCAATAACCATTGCTGGTTTTTGCACCGCCTTGCCTCTGACATTTAATCGAGTAAATTTGTCCGTGTGCTTTGTAGACAGCATTAAAACATCTCTTTTATCTTTCCATTTTAATACTGTGATGCCACAATCGTTTTCTTGTGCTACGAATTCACCTCGTTTTAAATTAGTTTCTACTACTTTCCTAGGCAAGTACTTTCTGTTCTTTCTCACTGTCCCCAGGAAATTATGTATCGTTTTTTAGTAATTCGTACGCCAGTTCCAAGCTGGTGTACCAGTTATCAGTGGCAATGGTGTGGCCTTTATTCAAGAGTTCATCGTACAGGGATAATACTATTTTTGTAGGGGTATTATTCTCAATATCAATATTTTTTCCACTGTATACCTGTATTTTTAAAGTATAACCAGGATTTGTACAAACTTTAAACAATTTTATACCGTATTTGTGCCTTTTAGATTTGTTATATTGTCGAAAAGTGACTCGACCTCTAAAAGGAATCATACTTTCGTCGACACACAGTTCTTCTTTAGGGGCATAGTAGGCTTTAAATTTATCATTTAACAAATTCACAAGATACCTGATTTTTCCAATGCGATCGTTCGGATTCAAGTTGTAATTGTCGGCAAAGTGTAGGTACTGTAAAAGTAATTCAAATCTGTTCCTAGTCATCACTGTGCGAGGAAACGGTTGTTGAAATATGTCATCTGTACTCCAGTAATCACTAATTGATGGCAATTTCACAAGGCCCATGAATAAAATTAGTCCAAAAAATCGTTTTATTTCATGCTTATCGGTTGGCTGCCATGTATGTGAGCGAGAACATGGCTTGAAATCTTTATCTCCAAAGCTTTGCGTAGCAAACAGGTTACTTTGTTCAGCAATTATTTCAAACAAGGAATCGTCAACTAACAAAGAATAAAAATCCTCTGGATCTCCTTGACTTAATTCTCTTGAAAAAGGAAACTTCATACCTGTGGGCTCAGTGAAGGGTATCACTCGAGCAGTGCATCCAGTAGGGTTCTTCCATTTTGTGTACGTGTTTGAAGAAGTAGGTAAATTTTGTAGGACAAAATCTTTTACTGAATCGCTTTCACTGTCCGAATTGATAACCATACGTCTTCTTTTCTTCGGAACATGTAAATTTTCAGACTCATCGTCGCTACTGATGTCCCTGAACGATGTCTGAAGTGCGTTGAACTCCAAAGTCTCAATCTCTTGCAAATCTTCTTGCGACAATTCAAAGTCCGCCAAATCCATTTGAAATTCGCAAAAATCGCGTTCCTCATTATTAGGTACTATATTAATTTCCATCGCAATGAATTACTAAACATAACTAACATGAAATATGCTTTAGACGTATTCTAATTAGCCAAAAAACCAAACGAACATAACCTCTCCGCGCAAGCGCCGGCGATAGACTGGAGCGCGGGGTGACCGGCGGGGTGGGCGGCGTGGCGCATGCAAACGAAAAATAACTTTTTTGCTTTTTGAGCGCCATGGGGGTCACAGGTGCCCGCGGCTAGTTTTTCAGCAATAACTTGAAAACTGTATTTTTGATTTCGATAAAAACTGATTTCTATACATATATGTATCATGATTATTAACAAAATGACTACAAAATTTTTTTGGAGTAAAATCACATTTCTTACATGGCGTTTAACGTGTTAACAAAAAAACATAAGCAATTTCAGAAACTTTGAATCAAAAATGCTTAAAGTTATCATTTATAATCTTACAAAATTGCTAAACAGGTGTAACTAAAATTTTCCTCAAACACATAATTAACCTTGAGTTCACGTGACGACTTATTTTGTGACAGGCAAAAAACACAGTTTCGAAACTGTTCGTTTGATACGGTTTTGTTTGTATTTTATCGTAACCACCCGAGTTACTCCGTCCTTTCCAGGGTGTTTCTCCTCTACGATTCCGTACAGCCATTTCGATGGTGACAAACCATCCTCAATTATTAGCACAATATCGCCTATTTCCGGCTCCGGATTTTGATTTTGCCATTTATAACACTGGTGAAATTGACCTAAGTATTCACGCGACCAACGCCGCCAAAAATCTTGCACCATGCGTTGAGCCATCTGCCATCTTCGAAGAATACCTATATTTGACGATTCGTAGTTATATAAAAAAAACTGCGGTTGCCAACCCGCTCGCCAAGCGTGGCAACTATGGCAAATATCCCCCCATGAGCAACGACGCAAATAAACGGCCCCCAGTCCCCGGCGGCCACGCTATTCCTGGCTACGGTGGCGACCATGGTAACGGCGGGGCAGGGGGTGCTAAGAATCTCCGGTGGAGGTTCGGTTGCCACCTACGACGACTCGACCAGGCAACGTATACTGCACGCACCCTGAGGACTGACGAGAAGATACTGGAACTGGAAGAAGAGGTAGACAAGTTGCGCTAGTATATTATTGGATTATCTGAGGTCCGAAGAGAGGGGGAGGACACGGTAATCCTTGAGTCCGGCAACTTGTTCTATCACCGGGAGGGCGACCATCTGCCCAAGGAGGTGTCGGATTTATCGTCCACAAGTCTCTCGTCAACAACGTTGTAAAGATTGGAAGTGTGTCGACGAGGATCGCGTACCTGATATTCAGAATCACTAAACGGTATTCGCTGAAGGTCATACAGGTCTACGCACCAACCTCGGCACATCCCTATGAGGATGTGGAGGAAATGTATGAGGATATTTCCAAAGCCATACATTCCTCCAAAAACTACTACACGGTGTTGGTGGGAAACTTCAACGCAAAATTAGGCACAAGAAAGAAATAAAGAAGAAAACGGTGAACTGAAGTTAGGGAAATATAGAGTAGAGCAACGGAACCGAAGGGGCCAGCAGCTAGTCGACTATATGGAGAAAGAGGGACCCTTTATGATGAACTCTTTCTTCCAGAAGCGGCCCCACAGGAAGTGGACCTGGTGGCCCCGACGGTTCGACAAAAAATGAGATTGACATCATTATGACGACCAGACGCCAACTGTTCAGTGATGTCTCAGTGATCGCAATGGTGAAAACTGGCAGCAATCACCGAATGGTTAGAGGCACACTGAACCTAAACGTTAAGTTGGAGAGGTCCCGTCTAATGAAGTCAACGCTCCGTCCCCCCTCGTGCTATAATCCAGAATCCCGAAAACTTTCAGCTCGAATTACGTAACCGCTTTCAGTGCCTAGAAGATTGCAATGCAGTAGATGATATGAATGACAAGCTCGTGGAAACTGTCAATGCGGTCGGAGCTAAGTTCTGCAAGACCCGCCGCAGAAGAACACAAAAACTCTCCGATCACACTCTTAATCTCATGGCTGTTAGACGGGAGATGAGGCTGCAATCGTCAACAGATTTGACAGCATACAGGCAACTGAACAAACAGATCTCCAAATGCATGCGGCGAGACTTACGCAACTTTAATACTGCTCGTATTAAAGAAGCGATCGAGCGGAACCAGGGCTCCAAAGTCTTTGCCAGAGATCTGTCTGCCAGAAAGAGCCAACTGTCAAAGCTGAAGACTGAGTGTGGCAGCATCGTTTCCGAGACACCTGAGATTTTGAGTGAGATTGAGAGGTTCTATGGGCACATACACTGTACACATCATCGTTGGAGCCACACGCAAGTGTGAGTAACGATCCAAGAGCAAGTCTTACCCGACACTATTCCGATGATATCCCGGACGTCAGTGTGAGTGAGATTAGAATGGATCTCCAGCACCTTAAAAATAGCAGGGCCACAGGCGAGGATGGAAACTATCAGCGGAGCTTCTGAAAGCGGGTGGAACACCGGTACTTGAAGTCCTTCAGAAGCTCTTCAATTCCGTCCTCCATGGTGGCACTACTCCGGAGGCGTGGAGCAGAAGTGCGGTGGTCTTGTTCTTTAAGAAAGGCGACAACGCTCTCTTGAAGAACTACAGACCGATTTCCTTTATGAGCCGCGTCTACGTGCTGTTTTGGAGAGTCATTACGAATCGTCTCGCACGCAGACTCGACGACTTCCAGCCTCCCGAACAAGCCGGTTTCCGAAAAGGCTTCAGTACCATAGACCACATACATACCCTGCGGCAGATTGTACAGAAGACCGAAGAGTACAATCTGCCACTTTGCCTGGCGTATGTGGACTACGAGAAAGCCTTTGATTCCGTCGAAATTTGGGCGGTGCTATAGTATCTTCAGCGGTGTCAAATTGACTGTCGGTATATCGAAGTGCTGAAGTGTTTGTACAGTAGGGCTACGATGGCTATCCGAGTACAGAACCAGAGTTTGAATCCTATCCAACTGCAGAGAGGTGTAAGACAGGGTGACGTTATATCCCCGAAACTCTTCACCGCTGCGTTGGAAGACGTTTTCAAGCTACTGGACTGGAAAGGATACGGTAGTAACATCAATGGCGAGTACATCACTCACCTTCGATTTGCCGACGATATAGTCCTTATAGCGGAATCGCTGGAGGACTTTAGCACTATGCTCAATGATCTCAATGGTGTCTCCCAACGGATAGGTCTTAAGATGAACATGGACAAAACAAAGATCATGTTTAATGTCCACGTCTACCTCAATCTCTGAAAACTAAAGTGTACAACCAGTGCGTATTGCCAGTGATGACTTACGGATCAGAGACGTGGTCCTTCACTGCCGGCCGTATGAGGACGCTCAAGGTCGCTCAGCGAGCTATGGAGAGGGCTATGCTCGAATTTTCTCTGCGTGATAGACTCAGAAATGAGGATATCCGCAGTAAAACCAGAGTGACCGACATAGCCCAACGGATTAGTAAGCCGAAGTGGCAATGGGCCGGCCATATAGCTCGAAGAACCGATAACCGATGGGAAAGAAAGGTTCTAGAGTGGCAGCCTCTTATCGGTAGGCGTAGTGTAGGGCGACCCTCCACTAGATGGAGTGACGACCTGGTAAGACATGCAGGAAGTCGATGGATGCAGGTGGCTCAGGACCGTGCTTTGTGGCGTTACTTGTAGGAGGCCTATGTTCAGCAGTGGACTTGTGAAGGGCTGTAATGATGATGTTGAATATGATGAGTTATTATCAGGTGCTAATACCAATTGTTCGGCGACCAAAAAATGTCCTGGCGTCAGTGGCTGTTGATCTTGTGGGTTGTCACCGATTTTTGATAGAGGTCTTGAGTTTAGACATGCCTCAATCTGTTATAAGACTGTGGTCATCTCCTAGAAAGTTAAATTTGAATCCCTAATAATCCGCTTAAGATGATGTTTAACGGATTTTACTCCTGCTACTTCTGTGCGGGGAATAAAATGCCATGTAGTTCCTTTGTTGGCAGGGCTTTCAGTTATCTCTGCCACCATGTTTGACTTCTCAGAGTTAAATTATCTTTGCAGTTCGCGGGATGCTCCGACAAAATTAGTCCCGATGTCACTCCAGATGTCACTGCAGTGACCGCGTCTTGCAACAAACCGTCGAAATGCTGCCAGAAACTCTTCAGCTGTAAGATCGCATACTATTTCGACGTGCATGGCTCGTGTGGCCATGCAGATAAATATACATGGGCATCACTCTCACAAGGGTTATATTTAACCATGACCTTTAGTTGTTCAAATATTTACAGGTCTACCGTAATCTACCCGACTGTTTTAAATGGTCGACTGGGTGTAACTCTTGCAGATGGTAGCTGGCCCATTGACTGAGTTGACTTTTTGTGGCAGCCGAATGTCGTACACAAACAGTACACCTACGAACATGGGCTTTCACCAACTGCTTCGCACCGATGATCCAATATTTAGATTGCAAGTAATTCAACATTAATTGCGGTCCTCCGTGCAATGTCTTCTTGTGGGCATCATCCACAATTAGTTCAGTGATCTTGGCCCTTTACGGGAGGATTATCGGATGTTTATGTTCGGCTGTGAGCTTATTGTTTTCCAATCTTCCCAGTACTCTCAGGATCTTTTTCTTATCCAAATACGGACTTAACGTAAGTAGTTGGCTGTTCCTTTTTAATTTTTTCTTTCCCTGTAATAACTGAATATCTTCTTCAAAATTTGTTTTCTGACATATTCTAATACAATTTTCCAACGTTTCCTTAATTTCGTCAACTGATAAAATTTTATTTTATTTTCTTTCTAATTTTTGCTTTTTTAGTTGCAGGAACCGTCGACAGTAGTACAATACACTTAACATTCTGGTAAGTGACGAAAACCTATCCCAAATTTCCTCCTTTTCCTTAACAGTTGTATTATACACAACTTTCGCTTCTTCTAAATTTGTCTTTATATCCTTTGGC